ACTACAAATGTGTATACCTTGGCTAACTTTAATTTTCTTATGTAATTGGTTTTAATTTATTGACTTGTTATTAATTTTATGCTATCACTCCCAGGTGTCTTATCTTAGTATTTAGTTACTAACAGTATTAGCAACATTCGTAATATTTCATAAATGTATGTATATATTTCAGTCTTCTTTAGATTTATGTTCACAGATTTATTTGTCATATTTGTATTTTGTTTTAATTATTTTCTGTACCTTATATACTCATGCTAACTTTGTAATTGGCCACTGTGCTGTTAAGTTATTGCACGTAAATAAACATGAATTGAATTGAATTGAATTGAATTATTATTCTTAGTGGGGTGAGACTGAGTCCACTTGGTACTGCAGCCACTACTGGCCTACTGTACCAGCCCCTGATGATAGATGATGATGATTGTGAAGCAACTGGTGGAATGAAGATTGGAAGGGGAAACTGAAGTACTTGAGAAAACCTGCTGCCTTGGGGCCATTGACACTGGGATATCTGTAACCATCCCCAGGTCTGATGTCACTGTTGAACTGCACGTGAGGAAGCTGAACTGGTCATAAATTCTGCAAATGGTCTGTGTCTTGAAGGAGATGCTGGTGGAGCTGACTCTGGGTCAAAGTATCTGGCTGTTCATCAGAAAGCTCACAGAGTTCATTCTGGGCACTTATGATATGATGGTGGCTTTGAAATGACACATGCTACAAAGGGGTCAAGATGAGATGTCACTATGGTATCCCAGCCTGATTGATGTGAGGGGTTATAACTATGTGGCTGGAGGGTCCCCAGGAGATGGAAAAAAGCATAATGGATCCAAGCTTGAAGATTTCCCATTCAGGACTGTACATAGCCACAGGTCGTTGGTTCAAGGTCAGTGTGAGGTTCCTATACAAATTTGTAATGATTATTGACATTTGGATCAAACAGAAGACATGCAGGCTAGATGACATGCCCCCCCCCCATGTTCAGCTCCTACAGTATTTTAGATAGCTAGTATAAGAGAAGGAAAGAGGTAAAGTTGGACCTTTATATACCCACCAGCCGGTCCCACTACCCATGCAATATGTGCAATGGAGATTCTAGTTATAACAAATGAGCAATTAGTACTGGTGAAACATTTTTAAGAAATCTGAACAAGATTTTAGAACACACAAAAGTTGTTCAATAAGTAAGGTTCCCTAGGCCATACAAATTGAATAAGAAGCCATTACAATGCTTAATGTAACCCATTTATTCCTCTGAAGTATCAGTGTGTTTCCAACATAATCCCCAAGCATGATGATACATATGCAACATCTCAGAAGAAGTTTAAAAATTTTGTCATGGTAGAAACTGGATCTTTCATTCACAACCATTCACCACAGGCATTTCCACTTCACTATTGTGGGGGATTGGAAACCTCTCAAGGATTGTCATTTGTTGTATGCTACCATTACACCTAGCTCTACAAAAAAAAAAAAGGTTTGATTAACACAAACATTACAGGCTAGGAAACCTTAATTACTGAACATCCCTTGAATATGCTTTAAGCTTGCTTCTTTGCACTATGTCACAAATTAGGTTCTGCATGTGGCAGACAAGTCATGCTTGTTCATGATACATGTAGACAACAGAGAGCCCCTGGTTTCTAAAATATTGATAATGAACCACTATCATAGCCATGAACATGAATATTCAAGGAACTCACCGTGCTTAGTTTCCATGTCCATGATCATTGCTGTCAGCTCCTTTTCCCTCTGTCCTGTCTTTTGTTTGGAGGGAGAAGAGGAAGATCTATCAGCATTCTCCTTTGTCATTTTGGCAAGGTTCACCTACACACAGTTATACTTAGAATCAGCAGAACAGTTTTCTTCAGGAGACAAAAACGCTTGCCACATCAACGTTACAACTTCTCGATGTCCAACACAGATTTACCATTATCATTCACCATCCTCATCACCAAACAGTCAAGAAATTCAGCCACTTGTCCAGTCAGGGACTCAGTTGTTGGACAAATGAATCATTGACTGGTCCAGCAGACTCTTCAATACATAAAAATTTCTTTAGTACTGTCATCTGTAATATTATCCTGCAAACAATGCACATTTTTAGCCTACTTTCATTTCTTAAAAAAGGACAAGTAAACATAATATTGCCATGTTGAGTTTATATGTCTCTAAGTATCCCTCCAACTCTGAAGGAGTTCGAATGGTTTTCATGAAATCTGATATGAACAGTATGCCATTAGAGATCATCCCAGAAGCATAATTTTGAATTTCTTACAATGTAGCAGACGCATGAAATTGCAAGCAGCACCAGCTTAATACTGGAACCTGAAATAATGAAAGATAACAAAGTGGAAATCTATATTTAGCTTCCAGTTTGATGGCGGTAATGAACTAATCATATCAGCTAGGCAAGGAGACAGATTAAAAATGTACCTACAACTTCTGAAAAAAAAAAAAAAACTAAAAATTCCATATAAAATGTTGCTCATTAGTCAATTATAAACACACAGACAGTGCAAAGTTCTGAGAGTATGTTCACCAAAATGAACATAGACAAAATCTGTACTTATGTAGTAAGCTACTCTCAAAAAAGAAAAAAATGACAGCAACAGCATCCTGGAGGCAGCAGGTTCCTCTGAAACGTTGGTATCTATCTACCAAACTACACTGCACCACATTCCAGAAGACTGTAGTCTTCATTTCCTCTGCCATGCCTCAAATACAACAATAATGTAATGACAATAAAACTGAGCAAACTGGCTCAAGCAGTAATGTTTCCGATTTGTATTTGTGAGGTACCAGGAACCTTGGACACAACACCAAATATCCTGAGGGTTTCAGTGGTTTCACTTAGTCTTCCCATGAAAATTTCAGGATAGTACCTTAAATTGGGCCACTATGACATCCTTCTACACTCTCCAAGTTTATCAGTCACCATCATCCAGTCACTCAACACTACAGTCTAAATTCCAGTCAACGTTGTTAAATAAAGTATAAATAAAAATGACCAATATTGACACATTTACAATGGCAAGCAATAACAAGCGTAGAAAAGGTGTACTGCTTAAAATTCTCAATGTCGTTCCTTGCAGTTTATTAAGCTTACATGTGCCCTATTTTTGATGTACATGAAGTCTGTTTATGCCTTTAAGTAATGTGAAATTTGGCTGGATGTCAGAACTGCCATAGAAGTGCTGGTGAAAATTGATCATATCACGTTATAAGGGATCTGTCCAGTGGTTTAGGCACTGATAAACAAGCAGATGAACAGACATGACATGACATCTGGCAAATTTCTACCTCCAACATAGTATTTTATTTTCCTGTTATGAGATGGTTTGTAGAAAAAAATATTTTCTGTTCAATTTTTGGGGAAATGTAAGACTTACACAAAGAGTGCACTGTGCATACAGGGTGTATGTCTTCAAGGACTGCATTCTGTTGTGTTATCCTATATAACTTCTTCGTTTGGTTTCTATCTCAACACAACAACTATCAAAATCTCATTCACATCTCACCATGTATAATGAGTTTATCGGTCTTAATAGTATGACAATGTGCTACATGTTTCAGCTTATAAAGCCGTCATCAGGCAGTACACATTCAACAGCTTAAAAATATTCATTAATGTGTACTGCCTGATGACTTTATAAGCCAAAACATGTAGCACACTTTCATATTATTAAGACCAATAAACTCTTTATACACAGTGAGATGTGAATGAGATTTCGATAGTTGTTGTGCTGAGATGGAAACCAGATGAAGATGATATATATTGTGTATGTCATTCCTCTCTGCAACTTTTCTTTGAACCACTTTTTGCTTCATTAACACATTGCGGACCAGTGGTTTAAACATATAAATCACCCTGGGGACCAGCGTTTTTAAACCTACTACCCTAACTTGTACACTGTTCACTTTAAAAATTAATATAAAATCTCCTAATTAATTTTATGAACTGAAATTTTTTGAGAACACTTACCAGAGCTCCTAGAAGTGCTTGCGCATGTGATATCTCTGGAAACATTCCCCTTTGTGAAGAGGCATTACGCAGAAGTTGCACATGTAGGCAGTTCTACTCTTCTTCTTGTG